CCCTCTGGAGCTCACCTGGGGCAGGTGACACTGGTGGGGCTGGGATTGTCCCTCTGGAGCTCACCTGGGGCAGGTGACACTGGTGGGGCTGGGATTGTCCCTCTGGAGCTCACCTGGGGCAGGTGACACTGGTGGGGCTGGGATTGTCCCTCTGGAGCTCACCTGGGGCAGGTGACACTGGTGGGGCTGGGATTCTCCCTCTAGAGCAGCACAGAGCAGGACCCCAAAGGGGAGCAGGGCAGCAAAACCAGCTCATTTTTCATGGCAAAGCTCAGCTGGGGAGCTCCCCCTGCTCCTGTGCAGCCCTGGGGGCTCGGGGCAGCTCCTGTGCAGCCCCGGGGGCTCGGGGCAGCTCCCTGAGGGCAGTGCTGCTCCTGTGCAGCCCTGGGGGCTCGGGGCAGCTCCTGTGCAGCCCTGGGGGCTCGGGGCAGCTCCCTGAGGGCAGTGCTGCTCCTGTGCAGCCCTGGGGGTTCAGGGCAGCTCCTGTGCAGCCCTGGGGGCTCGGGGCAGCTCCCTGAGGGCGGCTCTGCTCCTGTGCAGACCTGCAGAACGTGAACATCACGCTGCGGATCCTGTTCCGGCCCGTGACGGCGCAGCTGCCGCGCATCTTCACCAGCATCGGCGAGGACTACGACGAGCGCGTGCTGCCCTCCATCACCACCGAGATCCTCAAGTCCGTGGTGGTGAGCGCGCCCTGGGCTGCTGGGCTCTCCTGCCAGGGACTGGGGAACGTGGTGTGCCCTGGAACGGCGGAGCTCCAGCCCGCTTTGGGTGGGAGGCGCCTGGAAGCTGGTCCAGCTCCAGCCCTGCCGTGGGCTCCCAGCCTGGCGTGGATGCCTCGGGGGTGGGGACTCCAGACCTCCCTGGGAGGGCCTTTCCATGGGACAATTCCTGCTGCTGTCCTCGCTGGTGCAGCCTGGGGCTGTGTCCAGTCACTGCCCGCTCCCAGCAGTGCCCATCCCGTTCCCATCCCTGTCCATCCAGTACCATCCCATTTTCAGCAGTGTCCATCCCGTTCCCAGCACTGTCCATCCAGTTCCATCCCATTCCCAGCATTGTCCATCCAGTACCATCCCATTTTCAGCAGTGCCCATCCCATTCCCATCCCTGTCCATCCAGTTCCATCCCATTCTCAGCAGTGTGGGAATATCTCAGGTATCCGTCCATCCAGTTCCATCCCACTCCCAGCAGTGCCCATCCTGTTCCCAGCAGTGCCCATCCCGTTCCCAGCACTGTCCCTCCAGTTCCATCCCGTTCCCAGCACTGTCCATCCACTACCATCCCATTTTCAGCAGTGTCCATCCCGTTCCCAGCAGTGTCCATCCCGTTCCATCCTGCTCCCAGTGGTGTCTGTCCCATCCCCAGAGGTGTCCATCCTGTTCCCAGCAGCATCCATCCTGTTCCAGCTGTTCCCAGCGGTGTCTGTCCCATTCCCAGCAGTGTCCATGGTGTTCCATTCCATCCCATTCCCAGCAGTGTCCATGGTGTTCCATTCCATCCCATCATTCCCAGCAGTGTCCATCTCATTCCATGCCATTCCCAGCAGTGCCTGTCCCATTCCATCCCGTTCCATGTTGGTCCCTGCCGTTCCCAGCACTGTCCATCCAGTGCCATCCCATTCCCAGCAGTGTCCATCCCATTCTGTGCCGTTCCCAGCGGTGTCCCTGCCATTCCCTAACCATCCCATGCCATTCCCAGCGGTGTCCCTGCCGTTCCCTAACCGTCCCATGCCATTCCGTGCCATTCCCAGCGGTGTCCCTGCCATTCCCTAACCATCCCACGCCATTCCCAGCGGTGTCCCTAACCATTCCATCCCATTCTGTGCTGTTCCCAGCAGTGTCCCTGCCATTCCCTAACCGCCCCACGCCGCTCCGTGCCGTTCCCAGCAGTGTCCATCCCATCCCGTGCCGTTCCCAGCGGTGTCCCTGCCGTTCCCTACCCATCCCATCCCATCCCGTGCCGTCCCCAGCGGTGTCCCTAACCATCCCCCGCCATTCCCAGCGGTGGCCCTAACCATTCCATCCCATGCTGTGCTGTTCCCAGCAGTCTCCCTGCCATTCCCTACCCGCCCCACGCCGCTCCCTGCCGTTCCCTACCCATCCCATCCCATCCCGTGCCGTCCCCAGCGGTGTCCCTAACCATCCCCCGCCATTCCCAGCGGTGGCCCTAACCATTCCATCCCATGCTGTGCTGTTCCCAGCAGTCTCCCTGCCATTCCCTACCCGCCCCACGCCGCTCCCTGCCGTTCCCTACCCATCCCATCCCATCCCGTGCCGTCCCCAGCGGTGTCCCTGCCGTTCCCTAACCATTCTGTGCCGTTCCCAGCAGTGTCCCTGCCATTCCATCCCATCCCGTGCCGTTCCCAGCGGTGTCCCTGCCGTTCCCTAACCATTCCATCCCATCCCGTGCCGTTCCCAGCGGTGTCCCTGCCGTTCCCTAACCATTCCATCCCATCCCGTGCCGTTCCCAGTGGTGTCCCTGCCATTCCCTAACCATCCCACGCCGTTCCCAGCGGTGTCCCTGCCATTCCCTAACCATCCCACGCCGTTCCCAGCGGTGTCCCTGCCATTCCCTAACCATCCCACGCCGTTCCCAGCGGTGTCCCTAACCATTCCCTAACCATTCCATCCCATCCCGTGCCGTTCCCAGTGTTCCCCCTACCAATCCCTTCCCATCCCACGCCGTTCCCAGCGGTGTCCCTGCCGTTCCCTAACCGCTCCGTGCCGTTGCAGGCGCGCTTTGACGCCGGCGAGCTGATCACGCAGCGGGAGCTGGTGTCGCGGCAGGTCAGCGAGGACCTCACGGAGCGCGCGGCCACCTTCGGGCTCATCCTGGACGACGTGTCCCTGGTGAGCCCGGGAGGGGGTCCTGGCTGCCCGGAGCGTGGTGGCATGGACGCTTGGACACGCGTGGCTGTGTTTGGAGGGACGTGGTGGTCACAGCTCGGCTGTTGTCCCCGTGACCTTGGGTGGCCCTTGGTGGCCTCTGGGTGGCCTCAGCCCTCCCTGCGCAGGGCTTTTGTCACCCCACAGGAGCTGCTGAGGGGGATGGATTGGGCTGGAGGTGCTTTGGGATTGGGCAGCAGCTCCACAGGCACCCCTGGGAACACCAGGAGGGAAAACTCCCCCTGGGATAGCACAAAACTCCCAGTGGGACAGCACAAAACTCCCACTGGGACAGCAGAAAACTCCCACTGGGACAGCACAAAACTCCCACTGGGACAGCAGAACGTTCCCACTGGGACAGCAGAACGTTCCCACTGGGACAGCACAAAACTCCCACTGGGACAGCAGAACGTTCCCACTGGGACAGCAGAAAACTCCCACTGGGACAGCAGAAAACTCCCATTGGGACAGTACAAAACTCCCACTGGGACAGCACAAAACTCCCACTGGGACAGCAGAATGTTCCCACTGGGACAGCAGAATGTTCCCACTGGGACAGCAGAACGTTCCCACTGGGACAGCAGAAAACTCCCACTGGGACAGCAGAAAACTCCCATTGGGACAGTACAAAACTCCCACTGGGACAGCACAAAACTCCCACTGGGACAGCAGAATGTTCCCACTGGGACAGCAGAATGTTCCCACTGGGACAGCAGAACGTTCCCACTGGGACAGCAGAAAACTCCCACTGGGACAGCAGAACATTCCCACTGGGACAGCAGAACATTCCCACTGCTTCCTCTGCTGAGATATCCAAGGAGGGAGCTCTGCCCTCCAGCTCCCTTCAGAAATAAAATTTACCCTGCTGGGAGCAGGGCTGGCAGGAAGCCCCTGCAGGAGGTGACTTTGTTTCTGCCAAAGGGGACTTTGGACACTTTGTTTCTGGAGCTTTCCCTGGGCTCGGGTGTGGGATTGGGCAGGATTTCTTTGGGGGATCTCCATCCCTGTCCCCATCCCGGTGTCACTGTGGCAGCAGAGCTGCTGGCAGCTGTCCCTGCTGTGACCTGGCTGGGTTTGTGCCCCCAGACCCACCTGACCTTTGGCAAGGAGTTCACGGAGGCCGTGGAGATGAAGCAGGTGGCGCAGCAGGAGGCCGAGCGGGCCCGCTTCATCGTGGAGAAGGTACCTGCTCCTTCTGGACATTTGGGACTGCCTCTGCTGTCCCCTTCCCTCTCTGGGGGTTTTTCCTTGAATAATATCCTGTCCCAGCCTCCCTGGAGTGCTGATCAGAAATGGTTTTTCCCCAATATCCAACGTAACCCCAGCTGGAGAAGGTTCCTCCTTCCACCCCACAGCTGATTGCAGCTGTGCTTGCTGTTGGCTCCTGGGTGATCCCAGGTTTCCTCCTGGGTCATCCCAGTTTCCTCCTGGGTCATCCCTGCTTGGATCCACCCTGGATCATCGCTGGGAGTCTCCAGCAGCACAGTGGGGTTTTCATCTCTTGTGTCAGCTCACGTTTCAGCTGCCTGCAGACCTCTGGGTTTGGGAGCCTCCCCACGGAGCTGCCAAACAACGGGGATCTCCGGGTGGGATGAAAAATCACCAAAATTCAGCTTGAAATTGCCTTTTTTCCTTTTCCCACAGCAGACAAATCAGTTATTTTTTTATCCCACAGTTCAGCAACCCAAAACCCTAAACCAAAACCCTTGTACTTGCCCCGGCGGGGGGAAACCCCGCGGGGCGGCGCGGCTCCGTCCGTCGGTCTGCCTGTCCACCCGTCCGTCCCTTCCCGTTTCCCTGCTCCCCCCGCAGGCCGAGCAGCAGAAGAAGGCCGCTGTGATCTCGGCAGAGGGCGACTCCAAGGCCGCGGAGCTGATTGCCAACTCGCTGGCCACGGCGGGGGACGGGCTGATCGAGCTGCGCAAGCTGGAGGCGGCCGAGGACATCGCGTACCAGCTCTCGCGCTCCCGCAACATCACCTACCTGCCCTCGGGTCAGTCCGTGCTGCTGCAGCTGCCCCAGTGAGCCAGGGAAACACCTAAAAAAAAAAAATACAGGGGGGAAAAAAAAGAAAAATCAGTGCAATTTCCTCGCGGAGGAAACGGAAATTTGGAAATTGGAGGGGTTTTTTTGGGTGGTTTTTGGTTTTTTTTTTTTGGTGGGTAATCAAATAAAAGTGAACGCTCGCGACTCCCGGCCTGCGGTTCCTCCCCTGTGCTGCCTTCAGGGACTCTGAATCTGGGAGTTCAGGAAAATTGGGGAATTGAGAAAGTGATGTTTGGGAGTCGCCCCTTTCCGGGCAGGTGGAGCAGCAGGAGCAGAGTTTTCCTGGGATGGAGCCCAGGTGAGTCCCTGGCCGCGGGTGCGGCGTCGATCAGGGCTCAGAGCTGCCTCAGTGCCTTCAGGCTGGCTGGGGCTGTCCCCACCTGCTGCCCCTGGGCTGGGACAGGGGTGCTCAGGGCCCTCAGCCATGCCAGTCCTTCCAGGTGTCACCTGAGAGCCTGGGGACACCTCAGCTCAGGGCCCTCAGCCATGCCAGTCCTTCCAGGTGTCACCTGAGAGCCTGGGGACACCTCAGCTCAGGGCCCTCAGCCATGCCAGTCCTTCCAGGTGTCACCCCAGCTCAGGGCAGGGGCTCTGTGGGGGTGAGAGGAGCAGAGATTCCCTCTGGGCAAACCCTTCTGGGCCTGGGGATCTCCTCTCCTTGCCCCTGAGCTGTCCCTGTCCTGCCCCGTGGGCTCCTGTGCCAGCCCCTCGCTGCTCCAGGGGCAGAAATCCTCTGTGCTCTTTTTCCCAGGGAAGGGGAGTCATGAGGAGGGTGAGATTGTGTAACCAGCCTTCAATAAATGTCACAGTCCCAAGGCTGGCACGCTGGGTCGTTGCTTTTTCTTTTTGTGCTGCTGTCTCAGAAGTGAGGGTTGGGCTCGGGGGGCACGGCTGCTGCTCGGGCTGGGGTGGCTGGGAAAAGTCCTGGCCAAGAGGGATCCATCCTGACACCTTCAGAGCCTGGGATCTGAGTCTGACTGGATTTCTGTCTCAGGTAAGAGCACCTGGGGCTGCCGGGATCTGCTGGGCACAGGAATGGGAGCCTGGCCCTGCTGCAGCTGGGCTGGAGCCACCCCAGGTGGGGCAGGGCCCAGACCCGGGATAATTCCTGCCCTGGAGCTAGCTGGAACCGTCCCCCAGGTGGGGCAGGGCCCAAACCCGGGATAATTCCTGCCCTGGAGCGCTGGCAGCTCGGCAGAGCAGGAGATGGGGAGGAGTTTCCTCACGGCTTCCTTTGTGCTGTTTGTACCCGAGGGGATCCAGCAGAAAATGTCCTGGGAAAAACAGAGGGGTGGGGGGCAGGAGTGACACGGGAAAGAGCAGGAATGACACGGGAAGGAGCAGGAATGACACGGGAAAGAGCGGGAATGACACGGGAAAGGAGCAGGAATGACACGGGAAAGAGCAGGAATGACACGGGAAAGGAGCAGGAATGACACGGGAAAGAGCAGGAATGACACGCGGGAAAGAGTGGGAATGACACGGGAAGGAGCAGGAATCACCTGAAAAAGGGCAGGAATCACATCCCAGGTCAGGCTGCGACCCCCAGGGCCAGGTTTGGGCTCAGCATTCCTTGGCTGGCAGCAGGGCCCGGCTGTCCCTCCTGGAACTGTTTTCCATCAGAACTGCACAATTCCAGTGGGAGCCTCGGGAAGAGGGGCTGGGCAAGGACAGGACCCCAGTTAAACCAGTTTGTCCCTCAGCAGCCAAGCACCCTTCCTGCACTCTTTGATGCTGGTGTGAGCAGAGTTATCCTTTTCCACAGGGACAGAAAATTCCAGCACCTGCTGTGGTGACATTTTCATTTAATGATTGCTCCAGCACGGACTTTAGAACTTCCCCTGTGGGGTATCTGTACTGTGCTTAAATTAAAAAGGCAAAAAAAAAAAATTTTTTTTTTGGTGTTTTTTTGTGCAGAGGCTGCTGGCTCTGATGGTGCAGTCGTGGTGGAGCTGCCAGCACTCCCTGGGTGCTGCTGGGTGTGAGCTCTGCTGCCTGGAGGCAATTAATTTTTAATTGTGCTTTTACACCGGACTGGGAAAGGGAACAGGATTTTCCTCTGCTGGAACTTCTCTGCGGTGACACGGGGCTCGGTGGTGGCTCCCAGGGCTTCCTGTGGCAGAACCCAGCAGGAAAATCCCTTTGTTCCCCTTCTGCTTCCTCCCCCTTGCTCCAGGGCATCCTGAGCAGACCTGGAGGATAAACCTGCACCTGGCTGGGCTGCACTGCTGGAGCTGCCAGCACTGTCCGTGCCTCAGTTTCCCTTTCCAGGACCCTTGAGCAGCTCCGAGGGCTCCTCTCTTTTGGGGAAGGAGAAATTGTCCCAAAGGTGTCAGGTCCTGCCCAGCCCAGGCTGTGCCCCAGGCAGAACCGGCAGAGTTTGGAGACCTCACACAGCACAGGGGGAAGGGCCAGGGCTGCTCCAGGAGGAGTTTCCCAAAAATCCTCAGGGGAGGAACAGGGATGAGGCAGAGCTGCTTCAAGAGTTTCCCAAGGATCCTCCTGTCAGGAATGGGGATGAGGAGCCCAGAGCTCGCAGCCAGGCCCCTGAGCAGCACAGCTCCCGTGGGAGCAGCACAGCTCCCGCAGCCCTGCAGGGCTGGGCACTGCCAGAACATTCCAGCCCTAAAAGCCGTGTGGGACACAGGGAGCAGGCAGAGCCCTGAGCCTGCCCAGGGCACAGCAACCTCGGGCTGGGACATCTGTGTCCCTGTGAGTGAGGGGATCTGTGCATTTCTGAGTGAGATCTGTGCATTTCTGAGTGAGATCTGTTCATTTCTGAGTGAGATCTGTGCATTTCTGAGTGAGATCTGTGCATTTCTGAGTGAGATCTGTTCATTTCTGAGTGAGATCTGTTCATTTCTCAGCGAGGCAATCTGTGCCCCTGAGTGAGTGAGATTTGTTCCTTTCTGAGTGAGGAGATCTGTTCATTTCTCAGTGAGATCTGTGCTCCTCTGAGAGAGATCTGTGCCCCTCTGAGTGAGCAGATCTGTTCCTCTCTGTGTGAGATCTGTGCCCCTCTGAGTGAGATCTGTTCATTTCTCAGTGAGATCTGTGCCCCTCTGAGTGAGATCTGTTCATTTCTCAGTGAGATCTGTGCTTCTCTGAGAGAGATCTGTGCCCCTCTGAGTGAGATCTGTTCATTTCTCAGCGAGGCAATCTGTGCCCCTGAGTGAGTGAGATTTGTTCCTTTCTCAGTGAGGAGATCTGTTCATTTCTCAGTGAGATCTGTGCCCCTCTGAATGAGATCTCGAGCAGATCTGTTCATTTCTCAGTGAGCAGCTCTGTTCATTTCTCAGTGAGCAGATCTGTTCATTTCATTTCTCAGTGAGCAGCTCTGTTCATTTCTCAGTGAGCAGATCTGTTCATTTCTCAGTGAGCAGATCTGTTCATTTCTCAGTGAGCAGATCTGTTCATTTCTCAGTGAGATCTGTTCATTTCTCAGTGAGATCTGTGCCCCTCCGAGTGACCCCCTCTCCCTGCAGCCGCCGTTGATCCCGAGCAGAGCCCCCTGCACCCCAGCAGTAACTCCCATCTGCTTCCTCAGCAAGCCCAGAGCGTCCAGGCCTGTGGAAGCCCTGCAGGTGGGTGTCAGCACGTTCTGCTGTGCCCGCAGCCCTTAGCCCAGCACATTCCCCCTCTTTTGCTGTACTTTTTTCCACCCTGAAAGGCCCTGAGCTGCTTGGACAAAATCTGGTTTTAGGGGAGGCCGACGCCACCCGCAGCAGGGGCTCAGGAGGGAATGCAGATTTGTGTCACCTTTTCCTGGCACAGGAGGGGTTTTAACTCTGGTGGCACCTGGGGAGAAGGGAAATGCAGCAGAGAAGGACCCCGGAGCCAGAGCAGGGCCAGAGCTGCCCCCGATGGCAGCCAGGACCAGAGGTGACACGAGGGAACGGGGCTGACAAGGACCTGGGCTCTGGGGCAGGTCCTGCTCGAGCAGAGCTGAAGGGATTGGCTTCCCTCTCTCATCAGGGATCCAAGGAAGGGCTGGGAAGATGAGTCCCTTGTTTTCCTCACGCCAGGAACTCCAGGGTATTTGTATCTATCTATTTGTATTTGTGGCAGTGGTTGGTGGCTCTGCTCCCCCTCTGTGCTGCTTTGCTGTACGCTGTCCCTCAGCTCCCACGGGGCTCTGCTTCTTGTGCATTCGCCTCCCAAGGCACAAAATATCCCCAAAATTCTCCTTCCTTCCCTCTCCAAGGCAGGGAACTGCAGCACATCCTCACCCAGGGTTATCCAGCAGCAGCAGCACCCGCCCCAGCACCGTTTTTCCTCCAGGAGCTGAGATGGAGCAGTGTCCAGGCACTCCAAGGTGACCAGATGAGCACTTCCAGCAGAGACTGGGACAGCTCTGACCGGGCCAGGCAGCACCAGCTGCCCCGGGGCTGGGCCAGCGTGGGCAAGGAGGAAAACGGGGAGCATTGTTCTGACGCTGCCCCGGGGCTTCCCCAGCCTGCCCTGCCCTTTTAACTCCCTCCTGAACTTTGCTCTGTGAGCCCCAGTCCCCGCTCGGCACGGGCAGCTCAGGTCTGGCTTTATGCTCAGGAATCCAGAGCAAGTCAAACCCTCTGGAATTTGGCATTTGTAACTCCGGGGGAGCGAGGGCGCCGAGATTTTTTTTGGCAGAATCTCAAACCCAGGGCCCTCCGCTGTTGGGGGGCATTTGCAGGTGAGGGAACAAACCCCAGGTGGAGACTGCGGATTGAAGGATTGAGGAGAGGAACACAAAGCCGAGAGGAGTCCTCGGGAAAGAGCTGCCAAAGGGCTTGGTGCCCTTCCCCCTCTCGGTTCCTGCCGCTCTCACTAATTCCTCCACGGCTGCCAAACCCAAACCGCAGCAGCGCTGTCCCCTCCTACACAGCCCCGGCAGCGGTTTTGGGGCTGTGGCCGAGGCTCGGCAGCTTCCCAGGGGAGGTGGCACCTGGAGAAGGCAGTGCCAGCCCGGCGAGGGGCAGCCGGGTGTCCCCCTGTCCCCCGCCCCTGTCACCAGCTACCTGCCACAGGTGCCGCTCCGTGTCGCACGGGTGTAATCACGAAACCGCAGGCTGGAGTTAAGTGGTTATTAGCGTGTTAAGGGGAGAGGAAGGTTTGAGCAAGCGGGAGCTGGGGTTTGGCACCGACCGCTCCGGCTCCTGCAGAGC